TGGATACGAAGTCTCCCCTTACGTTACTGTACAGGTGCTCGATCCCATACCACGTTCAATTTGGGTTGCATAAATGTCTTGAAGTGCAAATCCTATGTTTTATTGCATACACTGGCAACATCAAAAACTCAAAAAATTGGTGTAACCACCGTCAAATGAGAGTATGCGTACGACCCACTTGGGGGCAGAAGTGTTGTGTGCCAATCAAAATGGAATCTTTTCGTAACGTCACGTAAAAAAATGGGAAACACCAGAACAAAAAACAATTTATCGAAACTCATAAACAGAAAATCTAAGAACGGTATGATAACGATAAGGTACGCAGCAACACACGGGATTGTGATTGGCTCCGCCAGCGCCCACGTATCTAATCGAAATCACTTACTGGCCGGCAGTTGCGCACTAACAATATAACCAAAACAGAGAGAAGAAGAGCAACAATCGGGGGACGCTCAACGCCCGCCGCGCCTAAGCACCCAAGCGCGCCTATCTTACAATTATTACAAAACAACGTTCCAATAAATAAAAGTATGTATATGTGCATTTTACAAGTGCTTAACAGAGAGAGCGGGGGTGAGGCCCCCGCCGATAACAAAAAAGTAAAACTTGTATCGACAATTAAAAACCGGACGGTAGCGAAGTGTTCGGGAGGGAAAAGCTCTGAGTAGAGACTAACGCACTACACGTGTGAACGCAAACTCAGCTAAGTTGTTGATCGAGTACTCATCCGATTATCCACTCTCAAAATGGAATATTTCACGACAAGCACTTCCTCTTCGACTATTCAGTACGCGACCTGGGCTGTCCTACCACACACACTCACAAAACACGCTTCTGAACACAACTGAATTACAAAAAGCTAAGAACCAACCAGAAACTTATAACAAAATGACAAACAACGGGGTCATTTGGGAAGTCAAATTAGATGGGGGTGAGGGACTCAACAAATTACAGTTCGCCGTGGCCTTGTTAGTAAGACCACGCCGAGCCAAAACAGCAACAGACACTCCCTTCCAGGAAATGATTAGTCGACAATACACAGCTTCAAAATTCTAGAGGAGATGTGACAATTCAGAGCCAGTGCCGCGCACTGGCTACCGTTTCATACTATTGTGGCACCGACAGATGAACATCTACTGCTGCACACCACCGGCACTACGTTGGAAACGATAGAGGTAGAGGCGGTAATCCTTCGAAGCCAGAACTACGCTGGTCTCGTCCACCAGAGCAACGTCGAAACATTGTGCATGCTTTACTTTGGATTCGAGAGCACCAATCATAGCGCCGTCCTGAAGGAGGACAATATTGAAGAAGTAAAATAACGTAAAATAAGAAATATAGATTATTCGTGATGTAAAGAAGGGCAATGACATACCTGCGAGAACACGGTCAAATTGAAGTTGTTATGATTATCTGCTACAACGACATCGCCCATAGCATTGATAGCTACACCAATAGGATAATTGGTTATGCCTTCACCTCCAACTTGACGCAAGAACTGCCCTTCATAGGAGAACACCTAGAATAAGAGATACATCTCAACCGCTCACGCGAGAACGTAAACATTTCCAAGAAAATATAACAAACCTTGATGCAATGCGCGCGATTGTCCGAAATCAGTATCTCGTTTTTGTCATTTGTGCAAACACCGTTCGGGAACTCCAGATAACGAGAACAGCTGAACTTCTGCAGGATATTTCCAAACATGTCGAAAATGATGACTCGCATCACCTGAAAATGATGACCTTAAAGGCAGCGTCCAGGCAAATCTGGGCACATGAGTTTTCGGCCTGAAAAATGATGAGGAGGTCCTAGCTGAGATGCTGCCCGAACGGCAG